GGATGTCGGCCAGATGTCATGCATAGTTTAAGGCCTGTCTCTTATACACATCTAGATGTGTATAAGAGACAGGTCTTCTTCTCCCTGGCGCCAGCCTTCTCTCTCCTCTCTACCTCGCCCAGCAGCGCTCTGGACACCAGTGTCTGTCAGGCAGAATGACCGAGCCGCTGGGGCTGGCCGCTCTTTTGCAGGGTTGACTGGCGCTGGCCTGCCTCTGCTTGCCTCCTCCAACGGTGGAGATTTCTAATCTGGGCGGCCCAGATTTGCTGTCAGCATGAGTGTGCCTCTGACCCACTGGGCCCTGGAACCTTCTGGGACAAATGCAGACAGCCTTTGATTGTGCATTCAGATCTATGGCCGTGGTTGACTGCTGAGAAATCTCTGACTCTTAGTGCGCTTTTCCCTAGTCGGGCCTGACTCTTGATTTTCCACGAGTGTGTTGCGTGGGGGCACAGGATGCCTATTTTCACCCTGGACCCTATACCTGTTGACCCTAGGACTTTTCTCAGACCCTTCTAGAACAAGAGATACGACTTTTGACCTAGGCTACCAGCCAGGGCGCCAGGGTCACCTCGTTTGCCCGGGTGGTTGGTGGAGCGGCCGTGCAAGGACCAAAGAAAGTCCCAGCAAAAGAAAAGACCAAAACAAATCCAAAAAATCTGAAAACAAAGTATGTTATGCATAAAAATAAACTGAACAGTGTTTGCCTCAGGGTCACATCGAAATTCCTGACCAAATAAAAAGTAAAAAAAAAAAGTAAAATAAAAATTTTAAATTTTAAATTTACTCTTAATTTTTTTAAGTTTTTTTCTGGCCCCGCCAGGGCAAGTGATCCCAGGCCACTCTGGTACCCTAGCCTTTGCCCCCTGAATGTAGACTTGGACCGAAAGTTACGACCCTGGCCTGTGTCTGTGCGGATTTTGAACTCAGTTCATCGCAAGGGGTGTGTGGGGGGGGGGGGGGGGGGGGGGGGGGGGGGGCTTAGTGTCAAAAGAAGGACAAAGAAAAGTTGCACTGGGTCTAACTGTCTAGCCGCTGGTACTCCGCATCTTCACGGAGAATTCAATTTCACGGTGCACGGGGCCTTAATGTCTAGCTGCTGGTGCTCCGCATCTTCACGGATAATTCAATTTCACCAAGCCAAGAAAAGAAATTCAAGAAAGAAGAACACAGAGGTTTTCCCTTGTGTGTTTTAGGACAGCCTTTGCTATGTGTCTTCCAGGGAGCCCGATTGAAGTAGTTTCAAAGAGGTGACTTCAGTAGGGTCACGAAAACGAGTTATAATTGCAGTGTGGGGCAAGATACAGTTTGCAATCATTGCGCTTTTGGCACCCTACCTGGCCAGAAAGCTGGGTTGTATACATTGCTCAAACTGCAATTCGAAACTGTATCTTGGCCCATAGTGCAGTTATAACTGATTTTTGTGACTCCCGCCTAGTCTCCCCAAAACGGGGCAACTTCGATTTGTGACATTTTGGTCTATATGGAAGGAAAGGTGCTGCAGAACTCTTGAAGGCTTCTCCACTCCAAGAGAGGGTGTTTGGGCGGCGACAAGGTCATTGATTCAGGCTGAGATGCTATACAAGTGGCAGAAAACAAAGCATTCTATGCTGGAGTACTGCTGGAAGTTAATCGCCCTGCTAGGTTACAGATCAACACTCCTCAACAAGCGGGAAGTTAATCATCCTGCTGGAGTACTGAGTGCTTTCTGAAGAGGTTTCCACCGTTGCTTGTGGTGCTCATCCGTAATCGTTAGGCTTGCCAGGGGGGGGGAAAGGAACAGGATTGCTGAACAGAGCCTCGAACATAAGGCTGCAGTAAAAAAAAAAAAAAAAAAAAAAAAAGGACCAAGCAGTGAACTCTTGAAGTTTCCAAGTTATTCTTCTGAAAGACTGAAAGTAATAAAACTTCCATTAACGATCTGCGGTCCACAATAAGGGGCAATTTCTTTTCTTTCCACGCAAATGGAGATGGGCTTCACTTTGCTGACTAACGACATGACGCCCCGATAACGGGCATTCAAAATTTCTGATCCAGGTGAAAAATGAGTTTGACTTTGTGAAGGAGGCCAATGCAATGAACCAGATTGCGGCATCTCTGGAAAATTCAACAGCACTGAGATTTCCCTCTCATGGTGACAACTTTCCTAAAACGGGATCATCAAGGCGAGGAGCCAGGACACCATCTCCAGTGATAGTTCCTAGGTCCTTCCCTGGTATGATAAGCAGGTGTGCTCCTCTTCTTCTTCTACTTCTTCTTCTTCTCCCTCCTTTTCCTCCTCCTCCTCCTTTTTTCTCTTCTTTCTTCGTGTTCTTTTTTTCCTTCTTTCTTTCTTTCATCTTCTTCTTCTTCTTCTTCTTCTTCTTCTTCTTCTTCTTCTTCTTCTTCTTCTTCTTCCTCCTCCTCCTTCAGCTCTTCTTCTTCTTCTTCTTCTTCTTCTTCTTCTTCTTCTTCTTCTTCTTCTTCTTCCTCCTCGTCCTCCCCGCCTCCCCTCCTCATCTTCTTAGTTCTTTTATTCTTTACTCCCCTCCGCCGGCCACTACTTCTTCTTCTTCTTCTTCTTCTTCTTCTTCTTCTTCCTCCTCCTCCTCGTCCTCCTCGCCTCCCCTCCTCATCTTCTTCGTCCCCCTTGTGTCCGCAACTTCACATACATTGGATGATTCTTTTGGGACATTGGTTGAGCTCCGGAAGTCCCTTCTCACCTGAAGCAACCACTGCTACACCCAGGCCCACTTATGAAAACCAGTCATTTCCAGCGGTGTGCTCCTTTTCTGCCCTAAATTTTGGTCAGTTACCAAAGGTTAAGTCCATCCACTTTCCGAAGGTAACTAACTGCGGGAACGGCCAAAGGTTAACTGCCGGAACGACCAAAGGTTAACTGCAGGAACAACTGGAGGACGTAAAATGGTTAAGTGCTGGAGAAAAGGTTAACTGGGGGACCCCTACTGTCAGTTACCCAAGGTAAAGTCCATCGAGTTACCTAAGAAGGTAACTGTGTGACCCTTACTGGGACCCCCCTCGGGTATAGGCAGGTTCTGAAGATACAGTGGCAGTCTAAGAATTTGCCGAATCCCGGCCCAAGAGGGTGAATTGAACAGACATGTTAACTCTTGATTTTTTTTTTCATTTTTTTTAGATGTAAGTGTTAATAAACAGATCACGAGTTCGAAATTTGAATCATGATGGAATCAGAATGTGATGCAACGACTTTTGCCGTTGCCGAACAGATCTCCTCCTTCTAGATATGAGGAAGTCCTACGTCAACCAATCTTTGGCAATAGATGGATCACAGACACACAAGGAAGAGTGTTCATAAGTTCCACATCCCCGTGGTCCACTTGGGTCAAACATGGTATTGTAAGGATTAAAGACTTATGGGACCAGGAAAGTAAGAGTTGGAAATCAGTTAATCAATTAAGAAAGGATGTTAAGTATGCACATAATCTAGCTGAAAACCTAGATTTAGTAATTTCATCCATTCCATTGACCTGGGTGGCTGCTTTTAAAAGGGTCCCCTTTTTTTGGTTGCGGACTGGGTGTGTGCTCATCTTACGACGGGTGACAGGGTGGTGGGTCAGATATTGGATATCCATACGGAAGGGGCTCTAGTAAACATCTTTATGCTCCATAAGGACTTCTCCCTATCACATAGTAATCAGGACAAGGTGGGGTTTTTCCATTTTAATACACTCTATAGGGTGAGAGCATTGTATTGTTCAACAACTAAAGGATGGATTGTGTATGCACCAAATTCTCCCATTCCAGATTTCCCTTTGGATCCTGCAGAATGGACCTGGCGTGCCAACAGGAGATGCAAGGCTCATAAATTGCAGTTCTAATCGGTGAAAGCCTCGTATCGTCTGTTACGTCCAAGAGTTGATGTATTTGACATTATTCAGGAATGGTGGGCCAGGCATTTAAATATTTATACAGACCTGCTCAAACCAATTAAGTGGTGTCAAGGTTTCAAAGAGAAACCTGCTAAATTTGTATCATTGCAATGGCAGATAATCCATCGATGTTTGCCAACAAATGACTGGCTGATTGACCACACCACTCTGCAGCAGAGGGGGGTAGTTGTACCGTGGTGTGATGTGTGTGTGGAGGCCTTCCCCAGTGGAAAAATTAGAGAGACAATAGAACACATTTTTTTAAAATGCCAGGGGGCAAAATTGTTGTGGAGGCGCTGGGATTATGTATGGAATAAATTGACAAGCTTAGATTGGCCTTGGGACTGGAGGGCGATCCTCCTGGGACATTGGTGCCCTGCCCTCATTTCACTAACATCGTTTCAACATAATTTATTCAACATTGGTAGAAAAGCCATTTTATGGGTATTATGGTGTAAGAGATGTGTATTCACAATGGAAAAGGTCAGGATTGAGGGCAGAGAAATGTCAGAGATGGTCCAAAAGTTCATCGAAACAGAAGTAAGATATCAATGGGACAAGACTAAATTTGGGCTTCATGTGATGCAACAAAAACAGGATATTAGGAAACGAATTCAAACTTTCATAAAGGACTGGCTGGGTGACTCTTCCGGAAGGAAAATGAGAAATGAGGAGTGGCCGGGAGGGGAAGAGGATGAGACGAATTTCAAAAGAGACTATGAGATCATCTTCCAGGATTGGTTTGATGTGTTGCCAGGTGCTACCTTGAGGTCGCCAGATGCATTTCCAGATCCCTTTCCTCCTTCTGAGCTTGCTTTGGTAGATCTTGATTGGTTTGGAGGGGGGGAAGAGTAGGGGATGAGGATAGTAA